TGTCCAGTTTTCCCAACACCATTTGTTGAAGAGACTGTCTTTGTTCCATTGGACATTCTTTCCTGCTTTGTCGAAGATTAGTTGACCATAGAGTTGAGGATCCATTTCTGGGCTCTCTATTCTGTTCCATTGATCTATGTGTCTGTTTTTGTGCCAGTACCATGCTGTCTTGATGATGACAGCTTTGTAATAGAGCTGGAAGTCCAGAATTGAGATGCTGCTGGCTTTGCTTTTCTTTTTCAATATTCCTCTGGCTATGCGGGGTCTTTTCTGGTTCCATACAAATTTTAGGATTATTTGTTCCATTTCTTTGAAAAAAGTGGATGGTATTTTGATGGGGGATTGCATTGAACGTGTAGATTGCTCTAGGTAGCATTGACATCTTCACAATATTTGTTCTTCCAATCCATGAGCACGGAACGTTTTTCCATTTCTTTGTGTCTTCCTCAACTTCTTTCATGAGTATTTTATAGTTTTCTGAGTACAGATCCTTTGTCTCTTTGGTTAGATTTATTCCTAGATATCTTATGGTTTTGGGTGCAATTGTAAATGGGATTGACTCCTTAATTTCTCTTTCTTCTGTCTTGTTGTTGGTGTATAGGAATGCCACTGACTTCTGTGCATTGATTTTATATCCTGCCACTTTACTGAATTCCTGTATGAGTTCTAGCAGTTTTGGGGTGGAGTCTTTTGGGTTTTCCACATAAAGTATCATATCATCTGCAAAGAGTGAGAGTTTGACTTCTTCTTTGCCAATTTGGATGCTTTTGATTTCTTTTTGTTGTCTGATTGCTGTGGCTAGGACTTCCAATACTATGTTGAATAGCAGTGGTGATAGTGGACATCCCTGCTGCATTCCTGACCTTAGGGGGAAAGCTCTCAGTTTTTCCCCATTGAGAATAATATTCGCTGTAGGTTTTTCATAGATGGCTTTTATGATATTGAGGTATGTACCCTCTATCCCTATACTCTGAAGAGTTTTGATCAAGAAAGGATGCTGTACTTTGTCAAAAGCTTTTTCTGCATCTATTGAGAGGATCATATGATTCTTGTTCTTTCTTTGTTAATGTATTGTATCACATTGATTTGCGGATGTTGAACCAACCTTGCAGCCCAGGGATAAATCCCACTTGGTTGTGGTGAATAATCCTTTTAATGTACTGTTGGATCCTATTGGCTAGTATTTTGGTGAGAATTTTTACATCCATGTTCATCAGGGATATTGGTCTATAATTCTCCTTTTTGATGGGGTCTTTGTCTGGTTTTGGGATCAAGGTAATGCTGGCCTCATAAAATGAGTTTGGAAGTTTTCCTTCCGTTTCTATTTTTTGGAACAGTTTCAGAAGAATAGGTATTAATTCTTCTTGAAATGTTTGGTAGAATTCCCCTGGGAAGCCATCTGGCCCTGGGCTTTTGTTTTTTGGGAGATTTTTGATGACTGCTTCAATTTCCTTAGTGGTTATAGGTCTGTTCAGGTTTTCTATTTCATCCTGGTTCAGTTTTGGTAGTTGATACATCTCTAGGAATGCATCCATCTCTTCCAGGTTATCTAATTTGCTGGCATAGAGTTGCTCATAATATGTTCTTATAATTGTTTGTATTTCTTTGGTGTTGGTTGTGATCTCTCCTCTTTCATTCATGATTTTGTTGATTTGGGTCATTCCTCTTCTCTTTTTGATAGGTCTGGCCAGGGGTTTATCAATCTTGTTAATTCTTTCAAAGAACCAGCTCCTAGTTTCGTTGATCTGTTCTACTGTTCTTTTAGTTTCTATTTCATTGATTTCTGCTCTGATCTTTATTATTTCTCTTCTCCTGCTGGGTTTAGGCTTTATTTGCTGTTCTTTCTCCAGCTCCTTTAGGTGTAGGGTTAGGTTGTGTACTTGAGACGTTTCTTGTTTCTTGAGAAAGGCTTGTATTGCTATATACTTTCCTCTTAGGACTGCCTTTGCTGCATCCCAAAGATTTTGAACAGTTGTGTTTTCATTTTCATTGGTTTCCATGTATTTTTTTAATTCTTCTTTAATTTCCTGGTTGACCCATTCATTCTTCAGTAGGATGCTCTTTAGCCTCCATGTATTTGAATTCTTTCTGACTTTCCTCTTGTGATTGAGTTCTAGTTTCAAAGCATTGTGGTCTGAAAAGATGCAGGGAATGATCCCAATCTTTTGGTACCGGTTGAGACCTGATTTATGACCTAGGATGTGATCTATTCTGGAGAATGTTCCATGGGCACTAGAGAAGAATGTGTATTCCGTTGCTTTGGGGTGGAATGTTCTGAATATGTCTGTGAAGTCCATTTGGTCCGGTGTGTCATTTAAAGTCTTTATTTCCTTGTTGATCTTTTGCTTAGATGATCTGTCCATTTCAGTGAGGGGGATGTTAAAGTCCCCCACTATTACTGTATTGTTGTTGATGTGTTTCTTTGCTTTTGTTATTAATTGCCTTATATAATTGGCTGCTCCCATGTTAGGGGCATAGATATTTACAATTGTTAGATCTTCTTGTTGGATAGATCCTTTAAGTATGATATAGTGTCCTTCCTCATCTCTTATTACAGTCTTTGGTTTAAAATCTAATTTGTCTGATATAAGGATTGCCATCCCAGCTTTCTTTTGGTGTCCATTAGCATGGTAAATGGTTTTCCACCCCCTCACTTTCAATCTGGGGGTGTCTTTGGGTCTAAAATGAGTCTCTTGCAGACAGCATATCGATGGGTCTTGTTTTTTAATCCAGTCTGTTAGCCTGTGTCTTTTGATTGGGGCATTGAGCCCATTTACATTCAGGGTAACTATTGAAAGATAGGAATTTAGTGCCATCGTATTGCCTGTAAGGTGACTGTTACAGTATATTGTCTGTGTTCCTTTCTGGTCTATGTTGCTTTTAGGCTCTCTCTTTGCTTAGAGGACCCCTTTCAAGATTTCCTGTAGGGCTGGTTTTGTGTTTGCAAATTCCTTTAGTTTTTGTTTGTCCTGGAAGCTTTTTTTTTGCAAGAGAGAGAATGGGAGACAGAGAGCATGAGAGGGAGGAGGGTCAGAGGGAGAAGCAGACACCCTGCTGAGCAGGGAGCCTGATGTGGGACTTGATCCCAGGACTCCAGGATCATGACCTGAGCCGAAGGCAGTCGCTTAACCAACTGAGCCACCCAGGCGCCCCTGTCCTGGAAGCTTTTTATCTCTCCTTCAATTTTCAATGACAGCCTAGCTGGATATAGTATTCTTGGCTGCATATTTTTCTCATTTAGTGCTCTGAATATATCCTGCCAGTCCTTTCTGGCCTGCCAGGTCTCTGTGGATAGGTCTGTTGCCAATCTAATGTTTCTACCCTTGTACGTTACATATCTCTTCTCCCGAGCTGCTTTCAGGATTTTCTCTTTGTCTATGAGACTCGTAAGTTTTCTATTAGATGTTGGGGAGTTGACCTATTTTTATTGATTTTGAGAGGGGTTCTCTGTGCTTCCTGGATTTTCATGCCTGTTTCTTTCCCCAAATTAGGGAAGTTCTCTGTTATAATTTGCTCCATTATACCTTCTGCCCCTCTCTCTCTTTCTTCTTCTTCTGGGATCCCAATTATTCTAATGTTGTTTCGTCTTATGGTATCGCTTATCTCTCGAATTCTGCCCTCGTGATCCAGTAGTTGTTTATCTCTCTTTTTCTCAGCTTCTTTATTTTCCATCTTTTCATTTTCTATATTACTGATTCTCTCTTCTGCCTCATTTATTCTAGCAGTTAGCGCCCCCATTTTTGATTGCACCTCATTAATAGCCTTTTTGATTTCTACTTGGTTGGATTTTAGCTCTTTTACTTCTCCAGAAAGGGTTTCTCTAATAACTTCCATATTTTTTTCAAGCCCAGCTAGTATCTTTAAAGTGATGATTCTGAACTCTAGATCTGACATCGTACTAATGTCCGTATTGAGTAGGTCCCTGGCAGTCGGTACTACCTCTTGTTTTTTTTTGTTGAGGTGATTTTTTCCGTCTTGTCATTTTGTGCAGAGGAGAATAGATTAATGAGAGAACAAAATGCTAGCAGAGTAACCACGTCCCCAGAAAATATACTCTAAACAAATCAGAAAAGACCTGAAGCAGTGGGATAAGAAAGGGAAAGAGAGAAAAAAGAAAAAGAAAAAAAAAGAAAAAGAAAAAGATAAAGATAAAAACAAAAACAAACAAAACAACAACAACAACAACAACAACAAAACCAGAATGTGATCAAATATGATCTATATGGTATATAGCTCAGTGCCACACACTAGATTTGGGGTGTATTTTGGTCTTTTAGGAGAAAGTGCTTCCCAAAATTTTAAAGAAAGAAAAACTTATATATGTACAAAAATAAGGGTTGATATGATGAAGGGATGGAATATGACTGTAAAAATGGAAATTATAAAAAATTTTATAAAAGGAATTGATAAGAAGTTGAAAAAAGAAAGAAGAGGATTTAAAAAAAGAAAAAAAAAAGGGAGAGGATGTGATCAGGCAGGGGAATAGAAAACACCATATACTAGAGATTTAGGGTATATTTTAATCTGTTAGAAGAAACTATCTCAAAATTTTAAAGAGAGAACAACTTATATATATAAGCCAAAAATATGGGTGACTACTATGAAGGGATAGACTATGACTCTAAAAATGAAAAATAAAAATGTTTTTTTTTAAAAAAGGGATTGATAAGATGTTGGTTGAAAAAGGGAAAAAGAAAAATTCAAAAAGAAATAAAAAGACAAAAAGACAGTTTGAAAAAATTAACTTTAGAAGACTAAAGAATCATGGTAAAAAAGCCGTGAATTCTACGTGCAGTATTCCCCTAGCGCTGGAGTTCTGCCGTTCTCATTGATCGGTAAACTTGGTCTTGGCCGGCTGTTCTCGCTGATCTTCTGGGGAGGGGCCTGTTGCCGTGGTTTCCAAACGTCTCTGCCGGAGGCGGAAGTGCCCCGCCCTTGCCCCCTCCCGGCTAAGTAATCTGCTCGCGTTTGCTCTCCGGGGCTTTTGTTCCCTGCGAGCTTCCCGTACAGCTTTGGAGGCGGAGAGTGAAGATGGCGGCCTCCCAATCTCCGCCCCGGAGGAGCCGAGAACTCGGGGCCCCGCTCCTCAGTGCGCCCCCAGAGAAAAGCCGCCAGTCACTCCCGGCTCCCCGGTCTCCGGCCGCACTCCGTGCCCACCCGGCCTGTGACCGCTCGTTTCTATCTCTGGCGCCCGACCCCGGGTGGAGTCCCAAACCCAGCAGATCCCTGCGGTGCCCTCCCGCGCGGCTCCTCCCGGGGGAGGAAGGTGAGTCTCCCCGGATCTGCCGCTTGTCGGGTCCCTGCTGGAGGAGCAGGGGCCCGACTGTGCCGCGGATCACGGTCAATGGCCACCCCGAGCTGAGAGCCCGCGCCTGGGCTCCGCCTCTGCAGCCGGCTTCCCTGCTCCGTGTCCTGGGAGCTCTGCCGCCCTCAGGCACCCCCGGTCTTTCTGTGACCCCGAGGGTCCTGAGACCACACTGTCCCGGGGGGTTCCACCCCCCGCTTAGCCACCAGAGTGACGCCCTCAGCGGAGCAGACTTTTAAAAGTTCCGATTTTGTGCTCCGCGGCTCTATCACTTGCCAGAAGCCGCCGACGGAGGCCCCTCCCCCGCCGTCTGTCTTCCCGAATATCGCCGCGGATTCCCTTCTCCGCGCATCCTACCTTCCAGAAAGTGGTCGCTTTTCTGATGAGAGAGTTGTTGCTCTTCTTTTCTTCAATCTCCTGTTGAGTTTGTAGGTGTTCAGATGGTTTGATCCCTATCCAGCTGAATTCCTGAGAGGAGACGGAATCCAGGTCTCCGACTCCTCCGCCATCTTGCTCCGCCCCCCCAATCCCTTTTTCTATTTCCACAGCTATCTCCATAGTTCTAGCCTTCAGTTTTTTCCATTATTTCTCTTCTGGATGGAGCTTCCTAATGCAGGGCTATGTGTGTACAAATTCAGGTTGATCTTCATGACTGAACTGAGGGTAATACACCATCTCTACAATAGTTCTATATTCTCTCATAAGAGAAAGAACAGGACTTTCTGTTCAAGGTGGAAAAAAAAATCGTACAAAATGAAATAAAGTGTTCTAAATAGGGTGAATACAATCAAGTCAATATGAATAGGGAGGAAATATGACCCTGAGAAAATAGAAGGAAAAGAACAGAAAGGAGAAAAATGTGAATTGGTGGCCCTCTTCCATGGATGTCTTTCTTTATAGAGATAAAAGAGTGTATCTATTTAGTACTGGATCCTCTGAAACTTTCTTCTTTATCATGGAAAAATAAGGATCTTCAGGAAAGGTATATAGGAACTCTTTATTAGCATGCTAAGTAAAGAATGTGTTGTGATGCTAGATGACTCCTTGCCAATGTGATTCACTCGGAAAAATGTAGATCTGACTTAGCCAATGAGGAATAACTGTCTTTCATGTGTGTGTGTGACACCTTATGATGAAGAAAAATCTTTGTCTTATCAAGCCTGCTAACTACCATGCCCTGGGTGTAATTAGCACCCTTAGAAAATGTCTAGGCAGGAGGTCAAATAATGACTCCTTTTCTTCTGTTTTGAATCAGAATTGAGGACTGAAGCAAAAAATGGAGAATCTCAGAATTGGTTTTAAGGATGAATTGATCACAATCATCAGAACCCATTTCCTTTTCTTCTAGAATATACAGCCAGATAGCATTTCTTATTCTCCTTGGCAACTTGTTGTTGACAACAGAGTAGAACAGGATTGACTTCCATCACATCTATACCTGCATTCAGAACTTTCCCACCCATGTTTTTCCATGCTCCTCCCTCTGTTCCTGGCTGGATATAGACGTCCAGAACAACCTTTGAAATCATATGTATAAGATGGCAAAGTGTTCGTCAGTTTGAATCAGTCAATGCCTAGAGGAGCCATGAACTGCCTTGAATTTTTTTGAACAGTTTTACGTGAGTGAAAATTAAATACCTTGTGTTTAAACCATTATTCAGTTGGAGTTTTACTTGTTAAACCAGCTAGTATTGTGGTAAATAATACAAATAGAATCTAGAAGTGTATCTATGTAACTGATACGGATGGTATATAGAAGTGTTAAACATCTTTCTGGTTTATGGCTTTTAAATGCTTTTTTAAAAAAATTATTTTGTCTAATCAAGAATCATAATTTGAAAAACAGAGACTAAAGATGTGTTTTGCCTAGAGAATCACCGACCTAAATAGCAGAGGGTTTGAATGAAGGTAGGGTATAGAGTGTAAAAGAAAATTTTCTGGGAAATTCAAAATTATTTTATAATAGTTAATAAAGACAATATAGAAGAAAAACAGAAAAGGCAGTGATAAATAATTCATGTAAGAAATCATGGTTCATAAATTTAGTACATTCCTTATGCTTTCATACAACAAAGAATAATATTGATGTGGTCTTTATATACAGAGGTAAATAAAACCTCACAGGTTTGCTGTGGTTGAATATGGCTGTTACAGTTGTATTTTAAAATGATGGAATTTGGCAGAAATGGATTGAGGATTGGGTCTATTTGAAAAATATGTTTTCCAGTGTTAAGATTTTGCCTTGTTGATTTGGTTTTGGAAAGGAATTAACAATTTTTTTTTTTAAGATTTTATTTATTTATTTGACAGAGAGAGAGAGCAAGAACACAAGGAGAGGGAGAAGCAGGCTTCCTGCCAAGCAGGGAGCCAGATGTGAGGCTCCAGGACCCTGGGATCATGACCTGAGCCAAAGGCAGATGCTTAAGACTGAGCCACCCAAGCACCCCAGGAATTAACAAATGTTTTAAAAGCACTGTTTTAGTAAGGATACTTAACTGCTGGATTACAAAGTCCACAAAGCTTAGTACTTACCATACATGGGCCTCAGACTGGGAATAGTTGAGAAGCAAGGACTTATTTTAAGTTTTCCCAAATCAGGAAGATTAGTGAGGTCATAGCAAGTTCAGCTTGTTGGTGAGTGGTTGGCAAAGAAAGGGTCAGAAGACTGTAACTCATTCCTTCTCTCTTCCTGAGAAATCTGAAAAGAAGGCATGACACCAGTCAAATCTTGTTACGCTCATTTTAGTAGGCTGATCTTCAAATAAACTCATAAATGGTATTTACCAGTGGAAAGCTAACAGAGTCATTGTACATGAAATAGTTTTATCAGAATATGGTGGGTCTGTTTAGGGTATTTACTATAAAGAAATCTGGGGTTTATGGATTTTTATGACTGGCTGGGAAATGGGGTATTGTCACATACGCCATGTAGTTAATGTGATAAAATATGATGTTCCTCAACATCTCAGGATCATTGAGCATTCATTGCTCAGAGCAACCCCCACAGGTAGAAACCAAACCAGAATGCCTCTTAAAGCCAGAGATAAATGACCATCCTGAGCAGCTGTTTCAGACTGAGTGTCTCTAAGAGAATAATGCTTTATGTCTTATGATTGCTTGTATCCTTGGATTCACTGCTAAGGTGAATGAAAACTTGGTTATGGAGTAAAGTCTGTGATTCCTGTGATCCTGACTTGACGATTCAACATTTTGTGTCACCTCGGTGTTATAACATAGATCTAAGAAATCCCTAAATTATTTTCCTCTTCTTTATGGGAAAAAAGCCATACTTCCAAAATGGATAAAAAACTGAGCTTGTTATATCTAAATTTAGTCAAGAAATTGCAAGTGAGTCTTTAGATTTTCTACACGAATTTCAGTCTTTTGGTCAGAGTAAGTATATCAGTTAGGGTTGCATTTGGCTGCAAGTAACATGGTTAAACTAGATCAAGGTTTTGTATTAACCCCACATGAGAAGAAATCAGAAAGCAAACGTTTCCAGATCTGCTTCAGAGTTCTCAAGGATCCAGCTTCCCTTTATCTTTCTTATCTAAGGAACTCTCAGCAGGTGGTTTCACCCTCATGGCCACAAGATGGCTCTCTATCTCAGGATTACCTTTGCCCACTTTCTTTGGGGAAAGACGAAGAGGGAGAGAGGAAGAAGATGTAGTGAGCAAAACATGTACAGAAATTGCTAACAGACTTTAACTTACGCTTCATTGACTACAACTTTGTCATGTGACTATCCATAGGTGAAATACTGTCTGTAAAGTTAACTAGTTCTAGCTGTGCATATTGCCACATCAATAAAATTATGGTTCCCTTAGTAAGAAAAGAGAGTAGAACTTGGAAAAGCAGTTATCAGTGTCTCCACTGCCAAAATTTAAATATATATGTAAGTTTATATATATATATGTATATGTGTGTGTGTGTATATATATATATATATATATAAAAGAGACCATGGAATCACAGAGAATAAAAGAATAAAATTGGATTGTTATCACAAATAGTTCTTGAAAGTAGTTAAACATAGATTGAAGACTAAATGTGAATGTTTTAGAAGGGTTTTTGGATCGAGAGTGTGGCATTACAAAATCACTAATCTATCTTCCAACTGTGAGAGCTGATGAGTCTATTGTTTTCCTTTTTCACATCTCTCCATGGTCATTGTTTCACTCCATAATGAAAGCAAGTTCCTTTTCAGACACATCACACATAAATTCATTTCAATATTCAAATGCCTTTCAAGATTTCTAACTGGCTATCACTGATGCTGAATCAGAATTTATGACCCCTATGAACCTGAAGATTTTGGAAGTTTTCTTTGATTAAAATAGGCACTTAGGACTAGGAACTGTGCTTGACCTTTTGTTGTAACAGACTTTTTCAACCCTGTCTCTCTCTTCGTACTTTTTCTCCACCTCTCCAATCCGTTAGACCACTCAATGTTTGTCAGTCTACCTCTTATTTTCCTATCTCTGAAGCTTTCTTTTTTCTGTTTCTTAGTACAATGGCCCACAATAGCTGACTAACCATTTATTTCCAAAGTTTCTTTAATGGTTACCACATACAGGAATCTTTCTTATTTCTTCCAGGTAGTACTATTTCCTTCTTTGGACATAAACATGGTTTTGTGTGTATATTTTACATCTTTACAATACTGTGTCCCTTAAATAGCATTTTGAAATATCAGAATTTTATCATTTTTTGCCTCTTGGATATTTTAAGAAAAGAACATTCATATTGAACATAATATGTATTCGATGAATGTTTTTGTTATTTTTTTTGAGAAAAAGAACACAAAAAATAATCAGAGAAAAAAGAAAATAGAAATTTAAAGACCATATAAAAAATAAGTTATATTCAACGTTAAACTATGCCTATTACTTGTTTTAAGACACAACCCATTGAAATGAATGTATGGTATATAATTTGTACCAAAGTATGTTTATTTCTTC